GTAGTTTGCTGAGAGAAAAGCTTAGACAATAGGCAGTTTTGTGTCCTTAAACTCACACTGAGTTGCCCCCATTCCTCTCTCCCCAGGTCCCCTAATTCTTTGCCCAAAGCCTGATTGTGAAGATATATGAGACAGAGATTCTGCTACATTTCTGCTTCTTTGCCAATAACTCCTAGCAGTTTGTGGGGAGGGGGAGCTTTATGAAGGAAAAGACCATTTCAGGCATTTGAGTTGCCTTTCAAAATGTTTGTGTATAAAAATGTCCTTAAGAAATACTGAATCATATAAACTTGCAGAACTGTTTGAGGTTTCTTTCCCCCCAAATTCTAGGGCTGCTTAGCCATTAGCTATTCCAGACTTTGCTTATTCTTTTCCCACAGCTGCATTTAAGCCACAAAGAGCAGCCTGAAAAAGCAGAGGCACCACTGGTGCCAACAACAAAAACCCAAACCAAAAACACAGAGTAAAACACCACCTTCTGCACCCTGTGATGCAGACCACGGGTGTTCATCATCTGCAGGGACGAGAAACAGGTTTCATGATTGGCCATTGGTGTCAGTCTGAATGTTGAGGAGAAAATACTTTTATCTTCAGATAGGTATTTGAAGCCTTGTGTTTCAAGGCTCCATTATTCACACCTGCCCTGGACGCAGGCTTGCCTGAAAGCCATTGGTATGGGCTGCCTGTTGAATTTTATTATGTGAAAGAAGCTGCAATTTTGGGGTGCCCTGAGGTAGACAGAGGCCCATAGTGCCAAGTCCCCTGGTGGCATTGATTAGCCATGTGAGATGTTCCCTGGACCAGCAGCAGCCTTGGACATGTTTAAGAAGAGCAACCACCTCAAGGACCTTGGGAGAGGCGTGCCCAGGGACGGAGGAGTCCTGGCTTGGGACCAAGGTCAGCAGGACTCTGACTGACAGGTGGGCAGTCCTGTGTATCTCAGCATCCTTCCAACCTACCTGCCAGAACAACTGGTCTTCCATTCAACAGGCATTTCTTGAGGACCTTCTATGTGCTGGACCCTCTTCCGGCCAGTGGGAACATGAACGTGGGTAAGGTGAGGTCCCTGCCCTTGAGCAGTACCTGGGAGCGAGACACATAAACAAACCCTTGTACTAGATGCACTAGTGGAGGGCCCAGGTCCTCTCTCTGGCCTGTGAACATCACTGGCAGAGAACAAGTCTGTTTAGTACCTGCGGCATCCCCAGCACAACGCACAGGGCTGGCACCTAACAGCACAACACAGATCTATTGACTGAATAAATAAATAAGTGAACTAATCATGGCGAGAGTCCAAAGGAGGAAATAAGCAACTCCACTTATGAAGTGCTTCCTCAAGAGAAGCTTGAACTGGACCATAAGGACGAGATTATCTACGCAGACAGCGTGAACGAGAGGTCTAAGCAGTGAAGACCTCATATTGCAGATTCCTGAAGTATGAACCAGCCTAGCCTGCTCAGGGAACACGGGAGGCCACTGTGCTTTGAGCACGGGCTCTGGGTAAGATGGTGCTGCAAGACGAGACGGAGACGGGCCAGGTGAAGGGAAGGTAGCCCTCGTGCACCTCACGAGAAGCTCAGAGGAATTTGTCAGGCTTGCACTTAGAAAGCTGGCTTTCCCACAGAGCAGACCGGAATGGGGTGGCCAGACTATAGCCAGGAGACTTACTGCTTGTCAGACAGCCCAGCCAACCCCTGGCCAGCTGCTCCCCACACCGCATGTGTGGTTGTTCACTTACGGGTTCCCCATGGCCTCTGGCCCAGTATTTTGCTTTCAGTAAATGCATCGTAAATACTGGTTGACTTTTGGTGGTGATTATTCTGTGGACCTTCAGTCACTTAATGATGTCCCAGCTGGGCCCTGAATCCAGGTCTTCTGATTCTTCAGTTTCCATTATATAAAGAGCTCTCCAGATATTTAGTCACAGAGTTTGGGGGTTTGGTTCAATTCTTAAGTTTCAGTTTACCATGTCTGTTGAATTGTAGCATGCAGTTCACTTTGTATCAAAGGTTTAATCTTTCAAAACATACTTTGGAGCTACAAGATCGCCAAGTGGGTCTGTAAGAGTGCCAGCAGATCCTTACTTTTCCAGGCCACTGCCACTCAGAACTAGGCTTGTGTAGCAGTTGTTCTAGGGTGCATAAGTTTGTCATCTTGGCTTTTTAAAATATATTCCTTGACATTTCAGTTTTTAAAGTTTTCTGTTTAAACCAACGAATATTATTGATTGGATTATTGCTATTTTTAAACCTATACCTGACGTTTTTGTTTTTCTACTGTTTGCAAAAGCTAAATTGATACTGTGGATTTCATAGCTGACATAAGGCTAGTAAGGCACCAAGTCATAATTAATTTAGACCTTGGTGGCACCCAGTTGGCACCAGTAGAGATCTGACATTATCTTTGATGTGTTCAAAGCCAGTTATTTTTGCCCTGATGCTTAGGGAAGTACACAGCCATGTCCTCTCTTTGTTTTCTCCTTATTACAAAATCTGTTGAGCTGTCCTCTTCTTTCCAGTGTATATGCTTAGGGAGCTTGGTGCCTCTCCGCCTGCTGAATAGGGTGCCATTTGATAGGGCAGCCACCTGGGGTGCCAGGCAGGTAGGGCACATGCCAAGAGAGGATGTCCTGCTTGGCAAGGCCACCAGAGTCCTTGGGAAGGCCAATGGGTGTCTAATTATTCTAAGTAGAAGGGCATCCTCAGCACAGAGGGAAAGCAGAGGGCTGTGCCTTCGTCTCTCCAGGTCCTGCCTCCACACTGCCTTCTCTCCTGCCATGTTCCTGAACGCTCTGTCCTCTCTCCCTCTACAATCTGCTTGTTGAACTTTAATTTTCCATGAATAGTAAATGGCTAGTAACCACTCAAAATGCTGCCCTACCATTGGGGTGGGTATTTCACAAATACCAAAGCCTCAGGCTAAAGGGCTAGGGACAGATTGTCAGGATTCTGATAGCCTTTTAGAGGAGATTGGGGTAAAGCGAGAGGGCCCCTGAAATCAGTGCACGTGAGTTGTGGATTCTGTGTGTGAGGGCAGCCCTGGGGGCCAGAGGGTGCAGCTCAGCAGACACCACCAGCTGCTGCGAACCTGAGTTCTCACCCTGAGAGTGTGGTTGGGTGGCTGCGTGTGCTGTGCAGTGAAGCTGTGCTCCCTCTGTGCAGCTCCTTACCACAGGCGGGCATTTCTTTGGGTACACAGCAAAGAGGAACGTGCGAGTCGGATGCATGGGTGGTGCGGATGGCCGGGTGTTCACTGGCACCCTAGAGCAGGGTTCTCAGACTTTCAAGGGCACGAATCCCTGGGGGATCCCAGTAAATGCAGGTTCTGAGTGAGTGGTTTCTAGGGACCAGAACCAGCTTCTCTGAGAAGCTCTCAGTTGGTGTGGCTGGTGCACGGGCCTCAGCTGGAGTGACCAGGCCTTGCAGCGTGGTTCTCAGCTTTTGCTGCAGATTCCTGTCCCTCGGGAGTTTTCAAAACCCTGATTCCTGACTCTACTCACCAATGAGATCAGAATCTCTGAGGGCAGGACTGAAATACCAGTCGTTTGGAAAGCTCTCAGCATAACTCCTGCCAGGCTGTCTGTGGAGGCAGCTGAGTGGATGACAGTAGTCATTCCTACCACTTTGGAAATGTGCATGTTATCTCGTAATTCTTGCAGTCTGATAGTGTGTCTTTTAAGTGTGTGTGAATTAAAATGAACAGCAGCCTTTAATGTTACCAGCTCTATTTTCAAAGAAAACCATGAAGTCTCCCAAGATTTCCTCCAGCAGCCAGGGTCTGCTCCGCCTGTGTGTATCGGCCCAGTCTTAGCTGAAGCCCGCACAGATACTCTCGCTAGCGTCTACCACTGGTGGCCTGCAGTTCTTGGCTGCACAGCTAACTGCCCCAAATTCTTCCTGACAAGCCATCAAGGCTGTGAATAGTGTAGATAGAATAAAACTGGATGTTTTATCTTCCTGTAGAGCAGAGGTTCTTAACCCAGCAGCACATTAGAATCACCCTGGGCCATTCTACTGTAATGGGTTTAGGGCAGGGAACATCCATTAGGGACTTTTACAACCTCCCAGTGATTACAGTGTGAACTCAGGGATAAGAACCAGACTGTAAGGTAAAATGAAACTTTAAAAAAAGGTATATATATATATATAATATATATTTGTATTTTCTTCTACATTTAATTGAAGTATGATTGACAAAATCTTTTATCACTTTTTTTAACAATTTAAAAACTGCTTTTAAAAAATAATAGAAGATGCTGGTCAATCAACAAAATATAGAAATAATTTTTTAAATACACATTATATGAATTTAAAAATCTGTATTTATTTTAAACTATGTATTTCCCCCCATCCAATACCTGGTACTTTTGAGAGACCATTGGGCAAAGCAGGGAGATTCTTCAGCTGGATTTCAAGTGCACCACTGAAGAAGGGAAGTGTTCCTGACGCAAATTTCACCCACTGTATTAAGGCAGCACTAGCTGCTGTAACAAATAAAACCTTGACCTTAGGCAATTTAAAAGTCTAGGAATTTGGTGCCCATGTAACAGTATGACTCGGTGAAGAGCTCAGAGGGCAGCCCTTCTCTGAACAGTCATCCAAGGCCCCCAGCTTGTGGCTCCGAGGTGGCTGGGTGCTAGGAGGGAGACTGGGTGGGGCTCCGCAGGAGGTTCCCACCACTGGGCAGGCCCACGCGTGCTCACAGCCCATCCGCCAGAGCTCAGTCACGGGGCTGCTCCCGCCTGTGATATAGTGTAGGTGGCCCCAAGCTCTGGCCGGGAGCCACAGGAGGATGGGACAGGCGGCCCTCCACCCTCAAGGCGTTTCAGTGTCTGGTGTAAGCTGCTTTCCACCGGGGTGTAAGTAGGTGCCCTGAGGCAGCATGGGGCGGGTGGCGGCTGCTCCTTCCAGAAATGTAGGCTCCAGGCCGCCTAGGAACAAGCCCCAGAGGACAAGGGATGATGTTAAGGGCGTGTGCTCGTTTCCGTGTTCTCTCCACAGATATCACCAACGGCAGCAGTTCAGGGGGGTACCGCCCACCTCCCAGAACCAAAGAAGTCATCATCAATGGCCAGACTGTGAAACTTAAATACTGTTTCACCTGCAAGATTTTCCGGCCCCCTCGTGCCTCTCATTGTAGCCTTTGCGATAACTGCGTAGGTGAGTAGAAGCAGAAATTGCCTCTGTTCCGTCTCTAATGCTTGTCCTAAACAGTCCAAAGCTGATGGGGTGGCCGATTTCCTTGAATAGAGTGTACTAAGGAGAGTCAGCATGTGCCTCTTTAATCCTACAGAACTCAACAACTCAAAAATGGTTAGTATTTCAACGTTATTTGCCTCCTCCCACCAATCCCATTCACCAAGCCTAGTATTTCCAAATCTCTTTTTTATTTCTCTTTTTACATCCTGTAAACACCCCCTCAACCACCATAGTGCTCTGGGCTTTCTCCTCCCAGAGCACCTACACCAGAGTGGGGATTCTCTGTTCCCCGAGATCTGCCAGGTCAGCAGGCACTTGAAATAAAACCATCTTACTCCCAGGCCCCTCCATTGCCCAACAAGCTGGCACACGAATCCCTTGGTAGCTCACACCTGAAAGGACAGAGCACCTGGAACAAATCTGGTTTCCCTTAATAATACACTATCAATGGCTAAAACACTCTTTTTGAGTCTATTAGAAGTTGTCTCAATTCTTGAAGAAAACGAAATGTTATAATGTACTTCCTGCTGTGCAAAGCAGTTTTCATTTTATCGGTCTGAAATTTACTTTATCCGAGCTTTAATCTACAATTTGGTAGAAAGTTCATGTTTTCCCCATCAGGCCTTGTCTTGATTTTATTAACTTAGATGAATTACTTTTAGCCTTTGCCCCCTCAGTGGAACAGCACAGAATTTTGCTCAGTCTTTCTAGTGTTGTAGGTAGCCTGTAGTTCAGAGCTGGAAACTGCCTGGGTGCAAATACTAGCTTCATGACTTTGACTAGCTGTGTAAACTCTCTCTGCCTCTGTTTTCTCATCACTACAATGGCGTCAATAACAGTACCTATCTCATGGACTCATTGAGAGATTCAATTGAGTTAATACATGTAAGGCACTTAGAGTAGAGCTTGGCATATAGCAAATGCTCTGAAATTGTTAGTTGCTATTCTGTTATTACTGCTGCTCCCTTCATATTTTTGATCAGCTTCTCTAGATAGTTTTTTGATCTACTAGAGCCTTCTTCTGCAGGCGTGATGACCAAAACAACACCCGGTCCCCTATGTGGTAGCACACTAGGGTTTCTACAAAGATACAGAACAGCCTTTATTTAATCTCTGATACCCTCCCTGGTGACTTCAGCCTCAGTGGCCTTCCCATGCCCATCTTGAAGACACCTTGCAGCCAAGGCAGCACTGTTGCTTAAATGTCTTCAGGAGAACAAACTGGATTCTCAGGACTCTTTCTTGGGTTATAATTTTGATATTACATAATGGAACACTGTATGATGGAGTAGTTATAGAATTTATACCGTTTCACATAAATTCTTCTGTTATTTTGCGTCCCTTTCCCTGGAGGTCTAATGACTTATTCCAATTGGCACTTAGGTAGGGAGTTGTTGTCTATAAACCTTAAGAGTTTACTGGGCACCTCCTCCTCTTTATCATTTATAAAAGTGTTTACCCATTACTGGGTATCTGACTCTTTCTGTTTGTTCATTTGTATAAATTGATCTCAGTTCCTCTGGGCTCTAGGCTTGAATCCTAATCATTTTTAAATTTCCTGCCCATCTTGTAGTGTTCTAAAATTCCCCTGGGATTACTGTACAACATTTCCCAAAAGTTCATATAATTCTCTCATGCATTCCTGCCATCACCCATAGGTGTATGTGTTCCTTTAAGAACCCTTATGAATTAGATGTAAAATCCCCTTACCAAAATTATTTATCAACACTAGTTAATGATGTACTTCTCCTAGCGTATAACTGTTTAAGATGGTATCCTTTCTTATGGAAACTACCTGCTGAAAAATTAAGAGCCAACATTCTATGCCGTCTAATAGCTCTACTGCAATCTTCTGAGAAATCCAAGTCGCAATGGCAGCCCAGCCCTCCGCAGATAAGCAGGGTGGGGCCCTATAATTGGCAGATACAGAGCAGCGAAGGGAAAGGAGAGGCAGGCAGCAAGTCTGGGGGTGGGGTGGGCTTAAAAGGAGGAAAACTGGACAAAGAGCACAGTGCCAACAGTTGCCTCCAAACATCATTTGATGGTCCTAGAACTGGAGCTTGGCAGACCCTGATCGGGGCCCTGCTCTGGGAAGGACAGGTGAGGTGAATAGCGTAGATCTGATTTCAAATAAAGCTACTCACAGCACTCCTGGAACAACCACCCAGTGGTTCAAACCTACATGGCTTTGGTTTTCCAGTTCATTACACTATGTTTGGGCCTTTGCTATGACCCATTAGCAAACGAGTGAACTGGACCTTCTGCATTCAGGAAAGCAGAGTGGAAAGCAGATGTCTCCCCAGCTGAGACGTGTAATTGAAGAGTTTGCTGCTGTTTTAGATAGAAACTTTTTATGGGGAAAAAAAATACAATGATATGCTGCAAGCCAGGGTTAGTACATGTGGCTTCCCTTGCCTTGTAGTGAATGGGTTTGGGCTTAGTCTTCCTAGACACACAAATGTCACTTTGCACTGAGAGAAAAGAGGAAAAATGCAGCCTCCCAGGCAGTTCAGAAGAGTATTTTTCTTTGTTAAATAAGTTTGAAATGAAAATGAAGTCGTGTTGGCTCTGTATTGTTAATTGAGAACTGAAAGAAAAGCTTTCTTGGGGAGTAAACTCCAGTGCAAATACAGAATAGGTTAGCGGAGCCTAGTGGTTGGAACATGGCTCTAAGGACACATGGACTGAACCTCCAGACACCCTCTGAAGGGACTCAGTATAACTTGTTTTCAGCAGGGCTCTACCGCACTTTTTAACAATCTCTATGAACTCTGTGATTTGCCTGCCTCTTTTCTGCTGTGCTCTTTCTCTCCTGGGCAATTGATTAAACACCGCCCCCCACCCCACCCCACAGTGTTTCTCTCCTGTTGGTCCAGCTGCTTCTTCTGTGATGTGAGTTTCTGTACATGGACTGCGGCTATCTTGTCTATTGTGTACACTCTGCTGCATGCATTCCAGCTCTGTAACTGTACACAGCTGTACTCAATATTAAGAGGTTTGGAATATCCAAGACTTGGAGTTGTAGCTGCCTTCTGGTGTGGAGTAACATTCTGGAATTTCTTTTTAGCTATTTGGGTATAGTGAGCAGGCTATTAATTTCCCACAGGAAAATGTATCATTTGAAGGGAATGGAGGAAGCTGACATTTGTAGCCATCCTCCCAGGAACCAAAACAAACAGGGCATTATTGTGCCCCTCTAGTTTCCAGTATCTTTACTTTGGGTTCACATTTAATGAGCACCTATGTGTCAGGCACTATACTAGTAGCTACATGCATCAAATTAAAAAATGGTCCCCAAAGATCATTTTGGAATCCTCCCCAAACAGGAAGTTTGCTTGGATGGTGGATGGCCAATAAAATGAAAAGTTTTTTAAAAATCTAGTACAAAAAAACAAAACTGAACTTTGAAGCAGATGAACGAATACAGCACCCATCTCAAGGAGAGAGAATAGCAAAAGTAACTTCAGAAAAATGGGAAGAAAACAATTAATGACCTAGAAAACAAAAATGAATGTGATGCCAGATCTAAATCTTTTGAAAATGAACAGCAGAAAGATAAACCACTGGCTAGACTGAGAGAGAAAATAAGGAGGTGGAAATTACAGGTTCAAACGAGACAAATATAGGTGAGTTTTTTTGTTTTTTTTTTTTAGTGGTAAAAGTTATTTTGTACATTGTATGACTAAGTGCCATTTGATTTAAAAATTTCAATGAAACATGCTTTTATGGGAAATGAGTCAAAAACTGAGTGGTAGACAACTAAGAATGAGAAACCAAAAACTTTATTAAGTAACGATCCAAGAAAGATGCTGGAGCCAACAGCTTGCTTCCTGGGCCCCGAGGAGCGTCTCAGAGCTCACAGTAAGTCGGACGCTTTTCATGTCATTTCACCAAGATAGCATAGCCCCCACCCCCAAATCTGAGAAAACTAATAGGAAAAAAAAGTCTCACTTGTAAATATATCGAAAAGCCAGTATGATAACATAGCAAATTCTATCCAGCAGCATAAAAAGAGAACTTTTTATGTCATTATGTTGCATTCCTAGAATAAACCCCTCTGCATCCTAATGACTAAAACAGCAGCGGAATGGATACATTTATATGTTTTAATATGATGGTCACAAGAAAGGACAGCCATGTGACAGGATAGAGGTGCTCACTAGTGCTACAATGGCCATGATATTAAAACATATAAATGTATCCAGTCAGCATGCTGTTTTAGTCATTAGGACATGGAGGGGTATATTCCAGGAATGTAATTTTTTCCAAATGTTAATCCATTAATGTATCAATAAATCAAAGGCCAAAAGTTATATGATTGTGCTAATGGATACTAAAAAGAGATTTAATAAAATTTGGCAGCCATTTCTAACTCCAAAATGCAGTAAACCAAGATTGGGGGGTGCAGGCAGAATTTTGGCACCCATGATCTCCAGCCCATATTATTTTCCCACAGATGTGTCACCTTACATGACAACAGGACTTTGCAGGTGCCCTTTAGGTTACTAATCAACTGCCTTCAAATTAGGGATTAGCCCAGATTATCCAGGTGGGCCTAAACCTAAATAATCACAAGAGCCCTTAAAACCAATGAACAGATTACAAGCAGGAGGAGGATTCATCTTGTGTTGCTGACTTGAGGAGAGAGGGGACCACCTGGAGAGGATGAAAAGGAAGCGAATCCTGCCAGCTGCACTGAGCATGGAAGGAAGAGGACCCAAGTTCTTCATGCCCCCGACTTTACTTTGATCTTGGCCTGGTGAGATCCTGAGCCAAGCTCCTGACCACTGACATTCCAAGACAGTACATCTGTGTTGTTTAAAGCCACTACATGTCAAAGAGCTGCCTGCACTCCCGTGTCTACTGCAGCAGCAGTCACAACAGCAGGGATGCAGAAACAACCCAAATGCCCCCCAACAGATAAATGGATAAAGATGTGTTTTATATATATATGTATGTGT